TTTGAGTACTTATATAAACATATCAAAATAGTTTACAATACAAGTTAAGGAATAGAATAGTAATGAGAAAAAATGACAAGAAATTGGAAATGATAGAAAGGATAAGAAAAAAACCATAAAATAAAATTTTGCAAGTTAAGCAATTGTAGAAGAAAGAGTTATTAAAGACTTATGTAAAAAAAAAAAAAAATGTTAAGTACTATTCTTTATTTTATAGTACTTCATGTAGATCTTCTATATTAAGAATAACTATGATTTGATTCTTTATTAAAATAATAATTGTTACTTTTTAACTTTAGTTTTTAAGAATTATGAATTTGATTAAATAAGAATTAAAAATAATTGAGGAAAATGAAAAAAATAATAATAAAAATATGAGATAAAATTATTTGATTATTAGATTAACAATTAATAAAATTTATATTAAAAAAGAAAATAAAAATGCTACCCTATGTATAAAGAAAATCTATATATCCAACAATGAATAATTTATATATATTATATATAATACTACCTTCAAAAATAAAGATGCATTAAAATTTGTCATTTTTGTTTTGTTTATAAAAGAAACTTTGTTTTTTCTTTTTTCTTTTTTCTTTTTATGAGAAGAAGAAACTTTGTTAAAAAATAAGAAAATATTATTTTTACATTAAAATGTAATAATGTACTTATTATTTTAACTTTTCATTTTCTTTTTCTTCTTATCTTATCTTTATCTTTTAAATTATTTTATCATTATTTTATAAAGGATAAAAATAAAGAATTATAATGTACATTAATTATTAAATGCATGTTAAAAGCTATATATATATATATATGGAGGTAATACTTTATCTTCCACATTAACCTAAAATTAATGATTATTCATTATATAATTTTAATGGCATAGTAATTTTATATTTTAAAATATATTAAATGTATTATAAATAATAATAATTAATATAACTTAAAACTAACACTAATACAAAGAAACTATAACATTTTTAATATGAGTGACATTAATATATATTATAAAAAAAATAAAATGATACGTAAAAAATTGATTAAAATTATTAGTTTTATAAGTAAAAAAAAATGACAAAAGAGGCTAACAAATTAAAATAGATATTTAGTTAAAAGTAAAAATACATTTGGTTGATAAAAATAAAACGTGTAAAATAATTGATTTATTAACAAATGTATAAATGTATTTATTAATGAATTTATCATATTCTCTCTACGGATGAATATTTATAAGATAGCAAAAACAATAGTTATTAATTATAAATTGATATTAAAATGAAATTAATATCAATTTTTGTCATTTTAATATCAATTAATGGTAGAAAAAAATGTATTAATTATACTATTAACATGTATTATAAGAGCAGAGATTAAAACCATTCTAAATTAAATGATATTTTAAAATGAAAAGTTAGCAATTAATTTTGAATGCTTTAAATTAATTAATTAAAAAGTAAAATAATAAAAATTGAAGAAAAAGTAACAAATTAACATTTTTAGAAAAGAAATTGCAAGCAAAAGTTTTGCATGGCACTCCCAAATGAAGCCAAAGAGTTAATAACAGTTTCCTAACAGTTACTCTTTTCAATTTGATTTAAGTATCTCACTTTTTATTTAATAAGACATTCATATTTTAATTTTATCTTTATTTCAAAAGGGATAAAAATAAATTAGAGAATTTTTTGTTTAATTGTAAGGATATGAGGAGATAAATTCTACCCCCCGTCTTATTTTTTTATTTTTTAGATTAGATGGTTAAAATCTCCATATCAACTTTTACGCACTTTAAAATTAATTATTTATCAAGGACAATGATTGGTTTATATTTCGGTTCAACATATTATATAACACATTCATTAAAAAATTATTATTTTTTAGTTTGAAATTACAGACAAATAAGTTTAATGATATAATTATACACAAAGGATATAGGAACCGGTTGAATTGATTGTATTTATATTATATTTTTAATGACTAAACCGAGAGTGTGTTAAAAAATGTGTTGAACTAAGGGTGTACCAATCATTTTCTATTTGTCAAATAATCTTATTGATGTATCTGCCACATCATCAACGTAATGTATTCAAGAAATAATTTCCCTGCCAAAACTTGATGAAAGCTTTTAGTTGGCTTGTACTTTGCATTTTCTATAATCTCACTAATTCTTCCACTCCATGCATCTATTCATTCCTTCAAGGCCAATTAATGTACCTAATTCCAAAATCTTCCCAAAAAATAGTAGTCATTTCTTATTCATTCGGCTTTCTTTATCCTTTGTGTGGAAAAGGGTGATACTCTTTAGCTTTAATATCACCACAGTTACCAATTATTTAGGTATTGCTTTACAAAAATTAATACTGGGTACCGTTTCCTTTCCATAACCATGCTGACAAATTAACCCTATTATTTTTTAAAAAAAAAATTATGGATTATCTATAATTATATCCCTAGTTAGGATTTTTCTACTTTAAAATGATTTAAATTTTAATTGTTACTTAACGAGACTAAAAAAAATATGGAAATGTACCTTAATGCTATTAGGACTATCTATGAAACAGGAACAGGGGGGAATTATATATTTACTTTAGTAGTTGAAGTGTTGCACACAACAGTTGTCTCTTCAGGATCAAATATTCGTGTGTTTCTTCATGATTCTCTTTTATAATATTTAACTAGGAAGACATCAACGCACATATATATATATATATATATATATGTTATGTTAATGATAAAGCATTATATCACTCCCAACTTTGTAAAACTACACAAGTCATCCGCCATGCTGCTCACAAGTAAGCGTTTCCTGCATTATTATATATCCCTGTTAAACTAAATTCTTTTGGTAGTTGGTACGTTAATCAACATGTTCTTGCATCACATAATTAATTTGGTTTCGCAACTATATATGGCTAAACTAATATGATAGAACAGAGCAAATTTCATTTTTTCTTTTCCTGCTTTTCTATCAGGTAATATATTCGATCTTAGAGATGAATTCTTTTATTTATTTTTTGAGCTGATATATGGGTGTGGGGAGATTTTAGCTTGAGATTTGGACCACTAATTACCTCATAGGCTAAAGATGGAGCAATTATATTATATTTTTATTGATAGTTAACCAGGTGGCAGATAATTATATGTATTATAAACTATTGGATGGGAAGTGGGTTGTGGGTTGTAGGGTACTCTCCGGTTTAATGGTTTTGCTTATACAGTCTAACGTAATCTTGTCAAAATTGACCATCTTATGAGTATAAAAATGTTTGTGTCGTCCGAATTGTACTGGATGAACTGCACAAAATTGACCATCAAAGGGGCATACCCCATCCTATATGATATGTTGTCTTCCT